CCACTTTTCCTTTCAGAAATAGCACCAACAAGAATACGTGGAGGACTCAATATACTCTTCCAGCTTAACGTTACCATAGGCATCCTTTTTGCGAGTCTTGTCAACTACCGCACGGCAAAGTAAGTTCACTGCTTTGATTGTCTCGTTGTCTTTTTCTGTAGTTTCATTTCGATCAAGTTTTGTTAATCCAGCAACCTTTTAGTGGTAAATAAAGGTCAATCCATGTTTATCATGCGAAGGAACATTTAGATATTGGAACACCAACAATTGGAGTCAATGATAAGCATTTTGAAAGGATTGTAAGTACAGGACTACAAAAAACAGAAAGAAGCATGCGCCCTAAAAGAGGCACAGCTGTACTACTATTTCTAGATGCTACAATGAGTTGAAAGAATGAAGATGCTTCCTGAAATTGGAGCCGTAATCATAATTTCACTGGAAAAGATTATCTTAACTATTTCATGAAACAAATAAATGACAATGCATGCCTGGTTCTGCCGAATTGCCTTTGATAAATTCACTTGGCTCATGAACTGCCTTACATAACAAATAGCAAATATCAGTGTCTATATGACCAAAGTATGCTCTTTCTTCTACTTCTTTAGCTGATGCAACTTAACTGCTGCCTTTGCAATAATAGGATCGAAGCAGGGTGGGGTTGGAGGCTATCGTTGGGATTGGCCGGCATTCCTGCAGGTCTCCTAACTGTGGGAGCTATTTTCGTGGTAGACACTCCTAACAGTCTCATTGAGCGGGGTCGCATTGAAGAAGGAAAAGCTGTGCTCAGAAGGATAAGGGGAACTGACAACATTGAACCGGAGTTCCAGGAGCTTCTCGAGGCAAGTCGCGTTGCTAAAGAAGTGAAGCATCCTTTCAGAAATCTCCTGAAGAGGAAGAATCGGCCTCAGTTGGTCATTGCAGTGGCCATGCAGGTCAGTGTTGTTTCTGGCATCGATCATCATATCTCACCCTTCATTTCTCATCTCGTGAAACCTTTCTTGTTTGGTATGTCCGTCTACCAGAGTGTTCTTCTTGTGAGCAGAAAATGCCAGATTATATTTGTCAACTTTGAGTCGTCGATCTATTGAATAATCAGCCTCAGCAGCTTCAAATGCAGAGACAATCTTTCTAAAGGAAACAACAACGCCACTTAATAGACAAACCATATATGCATAGTCTATAGGTTTGTTATATGGTTTGTTATATCATATTCAATCACAAAAATGTAGTGATTGGGGTAGAATGTATCATAGAATAGATTTAAAAGACCATTTGAAACTGCACAATAGTAGGGTCAGGTTACTGTTGCGCATGGTATTGAGTTTTCTCTTCTCTAGGAAAGTAAGGTAACTGTTTTCTTCTGGCCCCAAAAGAAAATGTTACATTTGGCCTTCGGATTAAATCAACCAAACGTGCTATAAGTATTGAACTTTTGAGTGTGCTTGGCTAGTCAGATGAAGTTCAGTGGTGTCACTATTTGTCCTGATGACTGTTTTTGCGCTTCTTGATTTTAGCTCCAAGTTTATTGGTTTTAATTAGACTCACATTCGTCAGTTATATGTATGTGAAAACAGGTCTTCCAGCAATTTACTGGTATCATTGCCATCATGTTTTATGCGCCAGTTCTCTTTGACACCGTTGGATTCGGCAGTGATGCATCTCTTTACTCCGCTGTCATCATTGGGGCTGTCAATGTTCTCTCCACCTTGGTATCCATTTACACGGTCGATAAGATCAGCCGCCGTGTTCTTTTACTGGAGGCCGGGGTCCAAATGTTCCTTTCCCAAGTTATAATAGCAATTATACTTGGCTTGAAGGTCAAGGACCACTCAGAGGACCTCAGCCATGGCTACTCGACCTTTGTGGTCATTATGGTGTGCACGTTCGTCTCTAGCTTCGCGTGGTCTTGGGGACCTCTTGGATGGTTGATCCCCAGCGAGACGTTTCCGCTAGAGACTCGCTCGGCCGGCCAGAGTGTGACCGTCTGCACCAACTTTCTCTTCACCTTCGTGATCGGCCAGGCATTCCTCTCCATGCTGTGCCACTTCAAGTACGGCATCTTCTTGTTCTTCTCTGGTTGGGTCCTTATCATGTCCATCTTCACTCTGTTTCTTATCCCCGAGACCAAGAACGTCCCGATCGAAGAGATGACCGAGAGGGTGTGGAAGCAGCATTGGTATTGGAAACGGTACATCGAGGACAACGACCATGATGCCGAAGCCGCCGTTTCGAACAAGGTGGGGCCTGCCAATGGCAATGGGTTTGATCCCGCATCGCAGTTGTAATCGATTCGAGATGAATGTCTTTCAGGATTCAGATATATAGGAATTTCATACCTTAGAAAAATATTGGGTACAGAATATACACTAGAACACAGAGAACAACTACTATTCAACAGACCGAGAGTTATTTCGATACTGTCATTATAGGTAGAGAACTGATTAAGCCAGATATATAGTCTTCGCGTGTGATTTGTGGCGCGCGCCGCCATGTAAATTGATATCGCAGGATATTGCCTTTGGAGAGAATAGTGTTTTTTTGAAGTCTTTTGGCTTATCTTTTCATTTGACGGAAAATTTACATATGCGAAATACAGTTGGAGTAACACCGAGGTAAGATTTGGCGTGTTAAGAAGTTTGCGTAGAGAGCAAGACTTCGGAATCTCTCTCGCTTTCTCCATACACCAAGCAACAAAAATAGAGAACTAGTTGCCGTCTGATCCTCTGATTCATTCTAATGTCTACTATTGTATTAAGTAATGGAGAACTTACGACTCTTAGGGGATCCCAAGCCTGTTTTTTTTTTTAATCTCCCAAAACGTCCTTAATAGTTCTCTGTGATCTCTCGATGTATGTTAGCATGAAAAGGTCACATTTTTTCTATCCAACATCAACCTTCCAAAAAAGATTTTCGAGTCTTGAAATGTTTGCATCTCGCCACATATTACTACAAATCTCCTTTGTAATCTATGTGCTTTTGTCAATTTGTTTTCATGACTTTTAACGATAAGAAGATTATGTAACGAATTGGGTTTTGCTTAATCCATCAAAATGTCAAATATCATGAGCTTTCTTCCATAGTCTTCTGTAGTCCCGTGACGAAAACGTTTGATCGATCCCACCAAAAGACCTCCGGAAAGCAGCCTTTCCTTGTAAGACTCTCAACCGAGCTGCACTACCTACGAGCGGCGAACCTCCCCCCTAAGGCAAAAAGCCAAAATCGCAACAAACGTCTGGTTTATGATACGTTTATTTCACCAACGTATGCTTTATGATCTGAACTGGAAATTAAACTAGACCTGATTTAAAAATTAGATGGTACCAATGCGCAATGATTAACGTTTCGATACTTTTGTGATCATGAGATCTCAGATGGGTTAGTGTTTCTTCACGCGTGGATCTCGGAAGTCTTTGATCGAGTCATCAAGCATTATAGCCACGTTCGTACATGACAAAGGAGGATTTTAAATTAAGCATGGCGATTTGATTGAGGACAAGGGACCGGGCGGCGAGGGAGCGCACATAGAGGGAACGGAAAAGGACGGGAGATGACTCTCCATGTACAGAGTGCAAAGGCCTAGTGAGACCAGGTCTCCCAGAGAGAAAATGACATAAATGATTTTTAAACTTTAACTCAATTTTACAATACGGAATATGGTTCCTGAACTTTAGCTCAATGTGCAATGTAGTTCCTGAAGTTTTAATTTGTTCAATGTGATCCTTAAATTTTTGGTACATGTTTAATTTAGTTCATGGACTATATGAAAATGTTCAATTTTGTCCATAATCTTGAATTAATGGAAGGAGAACATTGAACATTTTCAGATAGTTCAGGGACTACATTGAACATGTACTAAAAGTTTAGGGACTACATCGAACAAATTTAAAGTTCAGGGACCATATTGAATAAATTAAAAGTTGAGGGTTCATATTGCGTATTGGGCTAAAGTTCAATGACCAATTATGTTATTATCCTCCTAGGAACCACCAGCTGACCACCTTACATATGCTAAGGGTGTCCTTGATACTTGCTATCGGAATTGGTTCAAAACGAATGAGTCATCTACCAATCTCACGAACTGCTAATCACGAGGAACTTCGAGATGATTTTGGAGCATGACAACGCCGTTTGTCCAAATCAATCAGTGCGTTCAAGTTCACGAGAAGATAGGTAATATGTGGTGATTGACTTGCGTGGACGAGGACGAGGACGATTTCAAAAGAACTTAAGACTGTTGAAATTATGAAAAACTAGTCCATTTGTTGAGCTATTGAGACATATTTGACGGGTAATAATGCATGGTAGACTTAGATGCTAGAGAACGAAATACTAAAGATTCCGATTATTAATGGACGAACAAAACTCATGCACAATCAGAATCGAATGCGGAAACGTGAAAAATTTTATACTGATCTCTATCCATTGATGAAGTTCGATTGAAAACCACATTCGCAGACTCTTGAATGATCGGTGAATGGGTCTTTCTAACCAATTACCCTCTCAACGTCGATGGTGTGTTATATTTGAGGGGTTTGGCTTAGACCTATTCATATTTCCATTCGCTCCCCTTCATATAACTTCTTCTATCAAGGCAGTTATCATGACATTGGTCTATTACCATGCAACTTAATGTGGTTAATGGGCAGTTATCGCGTAACTTAATGCAAATAATAAAACGTCAGCAACGTGGGGGACAATGAATTGAAGGTGGGATCACATTATCGGTACGGTAATACTAGACATATGTGATTTTTGCTATCGAGCTCAGCAGCTGTTCATTTTTATCGCGTCACGCTTTCCTTTTTTCATCGATCCATACGAAAATGATTTTAGAGACCAGACCAAAGTGACAATTGGTGGCTCTGTTTCTTGGACGGACAGAAAGAGGATCGAGGTGGGGTGCGTGCCACTCAAGCATTTCGTCAGACGTGAGGTCGCTCCAACCCCACTGTCCAAGACCCCCCGACTTATGAGTCTCTGCTGTCCATTAACGCGCACAGCACTGCCTTTTCTCTCTCTGCTCTGCTTTGCTCTCTCTCTCTCTCTCTTTCTGAGAGCCGCAATTCAGTTCTCTCCCGCACAAACTTCCAACCTCCACACGTCCAAATCCCAGGTCGCTTAGCCTGATTATCATCTTTCCAGAAAGAAAAGAACCCTCGTCTCTTTCTCGGTCAGTCCTTCTCTGTCTCTCCCGGTTTCTTTAAATATACTGCCCGAGTTCTCTCCTCGAATCGTAAGAAAGACGGTCTGGTTTGTAAGTTGGTCTTCGAGAGACAGAGATGGGTGTGTTGATGTTGATGATGATGGCGGCGGCGGCGATGGCGAAGCTGTGCGATGCAGCAGTGTACAAGGTTGGAGACACGGCGGGTTGGACCACCATTGGCAACGTCGACTACAAGCAGTGGTCTGCCATCAAGACCTTCCAGCTTGGCGATACCGTCAGTGAGTTCACTTCCATTTCCTTCCAATTTCGTTATTGAAAGGAACAAGTCAATTTCTTTTTCTGGGTTTCCGGTTAATTTACAAGATAAATAAAGGCTTTTGATTCATATAGGCTTCTGGGTTCTATCAGAACTGTGAAAATATCAGATCTTTGTCTGGCAAATGCAGCTCTTCCTCGTGCCAGTCCTATACACCTTAGATTTTCCGAGCAAGCTCTGTCCCTTTTGGTTTGCTTTTTTCTGTGTCTGTGGGTACACGTTGATGTTCAAGACTGACAAATGGCCAACAGTCCTTGAATTCAGCAAAAAAACTCTCTGGATCTTTCAGAGCACTTCATGACCAAATTGTCTCCTTTCTCGTCAACCCAGGGTATCAAATCTCACGCAGAATTTCATCACTCTCTCTCCGAATTGACAGTTTTTTGCAAAATCTTTAACTGCCTTTTGCCTTTTTAACTGAGAAGAATAAAAGAACACAGACAGGGGGAGCAGATGTTTCGCGAGGTGTTGGACGATTGCGACAAGTTGACCATTAAGTGGGATCCATTGCTCCGCGTACGTACCAGACACCGCATCATTAGCTCCACTCGCACTGACGCACGCCTTTGATCGTTCCGACATTATTCTAGCTTTTGCCCGGAACAAAAGCAATCGTCCCACGACGCCATTCTAACATCATGCCATTGGCTAAGTGTTTGCATACTTTAAGCGGCAATAACGAAAGCTTGTTTACTATGAGCAAACACAGATGTCGCGAATCATCGTATGGTCCTTGCGCTACTTCTCATAAAGGCTAAAAAGTTGATTTTGAGTGAGATTGGACAGCTAGCTCCACAAGTACAGTCCTTACTCTATTTCTTGTAAAATCTTAAGAAGGCAAGAATAATTGTCGGATCAAATTCGATGTGTTCCAACTGCTACTGCAAGTTTAAAAGTACCGAACTCATTTCTGTAAAAAATGTTAAATTAAAAATTCGATGGTGTCGTGACAAAAGGATGGATGAAATTTGAGGAGGTGCATCCCATAGGTTTTTCATGCTAAGTTTGGGGCATTAGGTGCAATTCCCTCATAGTTGAAGGGCTGAATTGCAATTTCTCCTAGATATGAAGGAAACTGAACCTAACTGTCATTATAAACTGAAATATGTGGTTCGATTTGATTCAGATTACTGATTTTCAAATTTCTGAACTAGAAGAATTGAATGATGCTATGGATACTTGGATTGATTTATAAGAATGAGATATTCTATAACTCATGTTATGGTGCGAAAATTCCTAACATTGTGGGTTTCTCTTGTGCACCAGTTTTTCAATACAATGCCCAATTTCATAACGTGATGCACGTGACGCACGCCGAGTTCCGGGCCTGCAATACCACATCTCCCAAGGCGACCTACACGACCGGCAATGACTCGATCACCCTCACCAACCGCGGCCACCACTACTTCTTCTGCGGTGTCCCGGGTCATTGCCAAGCCGGCCAGAAGGTCGACATCAACGTGCTTCGCAACCCCGTGAGTGCACAGACCCCTTCGCCGTTGGCTGTCCCTGTTTCAGGCAACCAGGAGCCTTCTCCAAATGGCGGCCATCTGCCTCGCACTTCGAAGGCCTCCTTTGCGATGCTCGGATTGCTTTCGGTAGTTCTTGTGGTTTGCTGTTAATGTTGTTCTTGCTTCTGAGTCACCTTGTGTTTTGGTATATACATTGAGCTCGAGCAGTCAAACTGAATCCGGCTAGAAACTTCCAGATTATACACAAATCCACTGTATACTTTTTGTTTTGTTCTGATTGATTTCCTCTGTATTACACATCTCTTTTGTTTATTTCTGTTGTGCACTTTTAAGAACATGTCCTCTCAATCTTAGATCCAAATGATCTTCTCTGTTATATTGACAAAATAAGTTCCCTAACAAGAAGAGAATTGATGACTTAAGGGAGTTAATTTCAGTCGAGTATCATCTGATAGAGAGTAAACGTGAGGAAGAGAAATTGAGACACAAGGTTTTTTTCTGATTTATCCTTAAACTAGGGCTACGTTCAACTGAGGATTTCATTATATTTAGCGCCTCTCACCTCTCTGTTACATCCCTCAATTACAAGAAAAATAGATTGTATATACTCAGTAGATATTCATGGGCCCAAGTTCAAATCACCAATAAAATACAGGTCCAAATTATAAAAGCCCTATGGCGTCACGGGACACCCTCGCCGGGATGGCCCCCAAGACCCCGCTTGCTCAATGAGGAGTGGGACCCCGTGCTTTCCTGTCGATATGGTGTATGAACCACACCCCAACATATTATAAACCGTTCCAGTGTGATGACAGGCATTTTTTTGCCAAAAATTTATGAAAATTTGTCAATTTGTGTCGATTTCAAGTTGACCACGTTGTATTATGTCATGTTCAATTAGGTTAGGTTTTCTCAATAGGTTCATATCGTATTTGACTTATTTTTTTTTGTTGTATCAGAGATTGTGAACCCCAGTATGAAAAAAATCGTATTGATTTTACTTCCTATGTCACATTGTAGTTTGATTAATCTTTTCCATTTAGTATCTCTGCTTCCGGCAACTGGGGGCCTTCTCCAAATACCGGCCATCCACCGCGCGCTTCGAAGGGCTCTTTTGCTAAAAGCTCGGATCGCTTACGGTGGTTCTTGCGGCTTGCTGTTAATTCTGTTCTTGCTTCAGAGTCACCTTGTGTTCTGGGATATACATTGAGCTTGAGCAGTCATAAAATGAATATCGGCAGGAAACTTCCAGGTTACATAGTGTGGAATGTGATTCCGCTTCGTGGAGAGAAGAAGTATGGTAAGCTCATCTTGTACACAAATCCACTGTATAATTATGTTTTATTCTGATTACTTTCCTTTGTGTTGCACGTCTCCTCTTTTGATTAGTTTTGTCGTGCACTTTAAGGACATGTCCTGTCAATCTTAGATCCAAACGAACTTCTCTGTTGAATTGGCAGAACATGTTCCCTAACATGAAGAGAGTTGATGATGACTTAAAGCAGTAAATTTCAGTTGAGTATCGTTGTCCTGTCTATCTTGTTCTAGGAATTCCAAGGAAATTTTGATCCAACAACAGTTACTGCAGAAGATTAGGTTTCAGAGAAGCAACTACTGGGAAATATTGATCAGAAGATCCTTTCAATTCACTAGATTCCGTTACTTAAACACACATCTCGTCGAATCATATTGACTAGTTGATTGACTAGTTGATGAAACATTTCGTGCCCAAGGCATTACATCACATGGCTAAAGATCCAAAATTCATGATCTTTTTCTCTATTATTCTTTTCACTGCTCATATTTATTTACATTTTCCGCGAAACAAATGAAAAGTACATTAGCTACCCGGCATCGGTATATGTTGAGACGAGCCACCACGACCATCCTTTATCCTTTGACGACGTCGTCATCATCGTTCTCATCGTCATCGATCATGTACCGCTTCCAGAACCAATGCTGCTTCCACACTCTCTCGACCATCGAGTCCACAGGCACGCCCTTTGTCTCGGGCAAGAAGAACAATGTAAAGAGCCCCATGAGCAGGATCCACGCAGCAAAGAAGAAGAAGATGCCGGCCCTCATGTGGCACAGCATCGAGAGGAAGGCCTGCGCGATAATGAAGGTGAAGAGCATGTTGGAGCTCACTGCGCAGGCGAAACCAGACGTCCTCGTCTCCAGAGGGAAGGTCTCGCTCGGAATCAGCCATCCGAGCGGACCCCATGACCATGCGAATCCCATCACAAACACGCACACCAGCACCACCACGATTATCGCCTCGGCATGGTTGAGAGACCCCGTTGGTTGCAGGTGTAGAAGCAAGAGCACTCCTATCACAGTCTACAACAAGAAAGAAAATTTTATGGATTAGAAAGTATCAACGCATTAGATCAACCTCTCTCCTTCTAATCGAACAGAATTACGCAAGTTTGATGTGATTTTCCGTCAATCGTGATTGAAGAAACATGCGAAGACAACGTGAATTACCTGAGTGATGAACATCTGGACACAAGCCTCAAGGAGCAACACCCTCCGGCCAGCCCTGTCCACCGTGTAGATCGACACTAACGTGCTGAAAACGTTCACGAGCCCGGTGATGACCGTCGAGAGCAGCGCGGCATTGTTCCCGAACCCGACTGTCTGGAACAGGACCGGCGCGTAGAACATGATGGCGTTGATCCCGGTGAACTGCTGGAACACCTGCAGCAACATGGCTATGACAAGAGGGGGCCTGCTCGATGGTTTCATGAGCTTGCGGAACGGGTGCTTCACTCGCCTTGCGGCCTCACAGGCAGCAACAATCGAATTGAACTCGGCAGTGACGTCATCGGTGCCGCGGATCCTCTTCAGGGTGGCCTTCCCTTGGTCGACCTGTTTGCGCTCAATGAGGCTGGTTGGGGTCTCGCAGATGGCGAATGAGCCCACGAGGAGAATCACGGCCGGGACGCCAGCCAAGCCGAGAGAGATCCGCCACCCGTGAGGGTGAATGTTGGATGTGAAGTAGTTGATGATGCCGGCGATGAGGATTCCGATTGTAATGAAGAGTTGGAAGCAAATGTTGAGAGCTCCTCTGATTCTGGCAGGAGCTAATTCAGATAGAAACAGAGGCACCGACTGATTACCGAACCCGACACCACAACCGAGGATGATTCTGCCGAAGACGACCATCACAAGGTTGACACCGCCGGCTTGGAGTGCAACCCCCACGATGAAGAAGAAGGATCCAATCTGCAATGTCGTCCTTCGGCCGAATTTGGAGCACACCCTTGAGGCTGCAAAGCTGGCTAGGAGAGCAGCTATGTACAGCGAAGATGTGAACAACTGGAGGTACTCGTTGTCGTATTTACAGTAGTTGTCCTCGTGGGCACGCTTCTTTTTCTCGTACACGTTCATGAAGAATTTCATCAAGAAGTCATCCATGGCAGTCACTCCACCTGAAATTCAATGAAAATCCACATAAGCATTGCGAAAAGCGAGTCATTTTACAATGACTGATGCATTCTGTACTTGGAAGTATAAACTAGCCATTCACAAGTCAAAATGCAATATAAACTAACCCATACCAGAGGCAAAAATGTGATCCGATCAATTTCTCTTTTAAATAGAATAAGTTTCCCCTACCCGAAATTCCGATGTCGTATCCGAACAACATCCCTCCAAAGGCCGCGATGATCACGCACACAATGACGTAGAAAGTTATCTTCCCGTCATGCTCGGGCATTTGGCCGCCGTGGCTCACGACAACAGCCGGCATCTTTCGCTAGCTCTCTCCGGGTGGAAAAAGACAGACAAAGGAGAGAAGCTTTATATCAAAACGTATTCGGACAGAAGAAAGACGACCAGAGTGAAGAAGCGGAGGGTAAAAGATCGAAGAGCTTTAGATCTTGTCCGAATACGAATCTTTAGGTGCATTGTATGGGGGTATTTATAACACGCCAAGAAGGCAAGGAAAGGCTAAATGAAGATTAGATGACAACTAATCGCGATATGATAATGACGTGGTTTTTGCTCTTATCTAAAATTGGATGAGATAATCATCCCTTAAGTGTCGGGCTTCTGATGATTCGTCCTCGTCAAATAGAACAGATTTTGCAGGTTAGTTTGACCCAGGAGTGACTTAATGCCAAAAAGAGACAATAATCGTAGATGGGAATGGAAGGTGGTATTGTCTTTGACCAGTCTAAATCGGAATTGACACCGAAGTGCGTCGTTGGAGTTTTCCAAGGAGATGAAAAGAGTTCATTGTCTAATTAAGTGCATACTTGACTTTAACCCTTGAATATATAAACAGAAATTAGGGGGAAGAGTTCTTGAAAACTTGAATTAAAACATAAACCAAAAGTTTTTTTTTTGTTTATGTTTAATTCGAATTTGACTTGCAATTAAGATGAAATAACGGTGGTGGTGATTGTTTTCCAATAGGTTTAGGTCCAGGGATGGACATTGCATGTTGCCATGACAGAGCTGATTAGTAGATAAAAGTTGGTAAGTTCGTTTGAAAAGTTGATAACTTCAAAACGATCGGATAGCCAATGGGTATAATGCTGAGACTCAAATTATGATAGGGTAATTTGATATACAAGTTGACAAGTTCAAAATGTCAATAAGCCGTGGAAATCAAAGTTGTAAGTTTGTTGCAAAAGCTGGTAATTTCAGATGTGCACGAATAGGTGGATGACCCAAAAATGGTCAATAACCTAAATCGGGAAAAAAGTTAGTAAGCAACTTGAATAAGGCTGATAATTTTACATAAGAGTTGGTGAGTTTAAAGCGTTAATAATCTATGAAACCAAGATTGGTAAGTTGTTATTATTGAAGCAACAAATCAAAAAGCAAAAAATCAGAATGTTTGTAGTGCAGAATCTTCCACAAATCAGCACAAAGATAATATATCAAGGAGAATATCCACGAGTTGATCATTTAGGAATCTTTTCTTATTTGTTTTTTATTCAATTTCCTTGTAAATCAAATTGTATCTTTTATCTTTAACTTCTATCATAATGATAGGTGATGATATCTCTATTTATACTGTAAAACATATCAATGAAAGGTAATGCTTCATCGACTCAATTCTCTATTTTCTTTATGGTATCAGAGCCACGGAGGGGCACACTGCTCTTTTCTTGTTTAAAAAAAAATTGATACAATCATGTCAAACCCGAGATTTCCATTTCCTTCGAACATCAATGTGGCAAATTTTGTTACGTTGAAGCTCAATGAAAACAACTTTTTGCTTTGGGAGACACAGATATTGTCTCTGATTGAAAGTTAGGACCTACTTGGTTTTCTTAATGGAGAGATAGTTGCACCACCGCAGACTCGGACATCGGAGAATTCAACCGAAGTCAGTAATCCAGAATATACATCATCGGTGCATAGTGACCACCTCGTAAAGTCTTGGATCTTGGGCACACTCTCAGAAGAGGGTCTTGGACATGCTATTGGACTTCAAACAGCAGCAGAAGTGTGGAAGGCTCTCACCGATCATTTCAAGCAAAGCTCAGTGACTCGAGAACTTGATCTCCTTGGACAACTTCAACACATTAGGAAAGAAAATAAGCCTTTATCTGTTTATCTTCGTGACTTTAAATCTATTTGCGATCAATTGCATTCCATTGGTAAATCTATGTCGGATGCTAATAAAGTCTTCAGATTGCTTGAAGGACTTGATGATAGCTATGAGTCGTTCAAAACGACTATGTTCAGGCCTCCTCTTCTATCTCATGCTGAAGTGGTTGCACAACTACAAATTTATGAGTTACGAAACAAGCGCACTTCAACCATGCTCCCAAACAATTTAATGGCGTTTATCTCGCAGCGACATAATGGTGGCTACATTAATTCTAGGGGTCGTGACTTTTCTCAGACAAACCAAAATGGTCGGTGATTTTCTAGAAATTACTATACTACTCAACAAACCAAAACCGTTGGTACGTCGTCAAATTCAAACTTAGGAGTGCCATCTCTCATCTGTTAGATTTGTAAGAAGAAGGGACATGATGCATTGAATTGTTGGTATCGTTTCGATAACAGTTTTCAGAGTATTAATACCCCGTGGCCTGGCTGCACTTCATATCTCAAACTCACAAGATGAAGAATGGCATCCGGACACCGGTGCTAATACTCATATGACTAATAATCCAGGTAATCTTGTGAACGCAGTTCCTTACCATGGCTATGATAATGTGATAGTTGGGAATGGTGCATCACTGCCGATTACTCATGTTGGGACTAGTCAATTTGGCAATAGGACCGGTCAGTTTTCTCTTAATAATGTTTTGGTCGTTCCACAAATTAAGAAAAATCTATTATCCGTCTCTCAATTGACAAGAGATTATCCTTACTATTTTGAGTTTGATGCCTTTGGTTTTTCTATCAAGGACTCCAGGACACACCGGGTATTGCTGACGAGAACTAATCATCAAGGATTATATACCAATAAGGATCCGCATTCCATGGCATTCTTTTCTCAGAGAAACAATGTTGTTGATGAACTTACGTGGCATCGCAGATTAGGCCATCCAAATAGTCGTATTTTACAGCTTTTGCGGTATGATAATTTGATTTCAATAAATAAATCCACTAGCACTTTATGTACAAGTTGTCAGATTAGTAAAAGTTCAAGATTGCCATTTTCTTTATATGATTCTCGATGTTCCCATCCATTGGAGAAAATACATTGTGATCTTTGGGGATCGAGCCCAAATCATTCTATGCAAAAATTTTGATATTATGTGGTATTTATTGATGATTTCTCCCGATACTATTGGTTATATCCGTTGAAGCAAAACTCAGATTTCTATGAGAGTTTCATATCTTTTCAGAAATTAGTTGAAAATCAGTTTGATAAGAAAATTAAAGTTTTTCAATCTGATGGAGGAGGTGAATTCACAAGCAATAATTTTCTCACACATCTTCGTAAATGCGGCATACAACAACAACTCTCATGTCCAGGTACGCCAGAACAAAACGGTGTTGCTGAGAGGAAACATCAACACATTGTTGAAGTCAAACTTGCTATATTATTTGAGGCATCTATGCCACTCAACTATTGGGTGGAAGCATTTACAACGACGAATTATTTGATAAATCGGCTTCCTTCAACTGCTTTAGGCCATCAAAGTCCATACTTAGTCTTATTCAAGAAGGACCCTGATTACTTATTACTCCGAGTGTTTGGCTCTCGTTATTATCCATATTTACGCAACTACACGATGAACAAATTTGACAAGCACTCTTTGCCGTGTGTATTTTTTAAATACAGTGAAAAGCTCAAAGTATATCGTTGTCTTCATCAATCTACTGGTCGTGTTTATGTATCTCGACATATTGTTTTTTATGAGCATTATTTTCCTTTTGCCTCTTCTTCTCAAGCGACTGCTATGACTAAGGGGGAGTTGTTGCGATGCAATTCAATTTTAGCCTCATCACAAACCAAAGCTTCTGGTGATCATTTGACTATGCCCAAACCTAGTCCATAAGTTTGTCAAAATGGTTGTTCACCAGCAGATCTTGATACTGCAAGCGAATGTGCACGTCTGTTTGCCGAGATAGAACCGGACTCAAATGCTTTATCTGCTACTATCTCTAACCATGTGGCACAACCAGCAAAGAGTGCATCTTTACTTCAGTCTCATTCCGAAGCTTCCACATCCTCAATACATCCCATGGTTACACGTTCAAAAGCTGGGATCTCGAAGCCAAACACCAGGTATGTCAATATAGCAGTATCATCCATCCTTCCCGAACCACGCACTGTTCATTCAACTTTAAAGCACCCTGGTTGGAAAGCTGCTATGCTTGAGGAGTTGGATGCTCTTGCAATCAACAAAACATGGGAACTAGTTCTTCGTCATCTGTCGATGAATGTGGTTGGATGTAAATGGGTGTACAAGATAAAGCTACATGCCGATGGTTCACTTGACCGATTGAAAGCCCGACTTGTTGCAAAAGGCTTTCATCAAGAGGAGGGTGTTGACTTCCTAGAAACTTTTAGTCCGGTGGTCAAACAAGCCATAATTCACATTGTCTTATCTGTTGCTACTGTTCAGAATTGGGAAATTCGCCAATTAGATGTCAAGAACGCCTTCCTACACGGCGATCTTGATGCTCCTGTCTATATGGATCAACCACTGGGTTTCCGCGATTCATTTCATCCTGACCATGTTTGCTTACTTCGGCGTGCACTATATGGCCTCAAACAAGCTCCTAGGAAATGGTTCAAAAAATTCAGTGATTTTCTTTTCGAATATGGATTCTTCTGTAGCACAGCTGATCCATCACTATTTGTTTTTCGTCATCATGATCATATTATTATTCTATTGCTCTATGCGGATGATATAGTCCTCACCGGTGATTCTCCGAAATTACTAAACCATCTTGTGCAGGAACTTGGTAAAGTGTTTTCCATGAAAGACCTTGGCGTTCTTCATTATTTCTTGGGCATTGAAGTCAATCGCTCCACTGATGGACTCTTACTCTCACAACATAAATATGCCTTGGACCTTTTGAATCGAGCATCAATGGCGCAATGTAAGCCTATTGCTACTCCAATAGCTACCAAGCAACCACCACTCAAACATGGTGATAAGCCCTATGTTGATCCATCCCATTTTCGAAATATTGTAGGCACTCTTCGGTACCTTACTCTCACTCGTCCAGATCTCTCGCTTGCGGTCAACATAGTTTGCCAACATATGCATGCCCCAACTGTTGCTCACTATCAGATGGTAAAACGTATTCTGCGATATGTTCACGGTACTTTATACCTTGGGCTTCGTATTTTGTCTCGTAGTTCTCTCCAATTATTTGGCTTTGCCGATACAGGCTGGGCAGGGTGCAAACTCACCAGATGTTCTACCACTAGTTATTGTACTTTTCTTGGCTCAAATTGTATTTCATGGTGTGCCAAGAAACAACTTATTGTGGCCTGCTCCACGGCTAAAGCTAAATATCGAGCTCTTGCTTCCGCAACTACTGAACTCACTTGGATTTCATACATACTGTGTGACATTGGGATCTACCAACATCAACCTTTATTACTTTTCTCAGACAATATGTCAGTATTACATCTCACAACTAATCCAGTTTTTCATGCTCGCATAAAGCACATTGAGATCGATTATCATTTTGTTCGAGAAAAGGTTGCTCTTGGTTCTATCGTTTCCGTCTTCCTCATAAATTGCTGATATTTTTGCCAAGCCATTGACTTGCGATATGTTTGTTAGTTTAAGAATCAAACTCGGTCCCTGGTCCTTCCCATTGACCGGTTTGAAGGGAAGTATTGAAGCAACAAATCAAAAAGCAAAAAATCAGAATGTTTGCAGTGCACTTCCACAAATCAGCACGAAGATAATATATCAAGGAGAATATCCACGAGTTGACCATTTAGAAATTTTTTCTGATTTGTCTTTTATTCAATTTCCTTGTAAACCAAATTGTATCTTTTATCTTTAACTTCTACCATAATTATAGGTGATGATATCTCTATTTGTACTGTAAAACATATCAATGAAAGGTAACGCTTCATCAACTTAATTCTCTATTTTCTTTAGTTACAAAAGTTAATAATTTCGGAACAACAAAATAGACAATTATATGTGCATTAAATAAGAATTGATAAGTTAAATCTAGTTAGGCTGTGCATGGCAACCATTCTGTGCTCGGGAATAGATTCTGCTAAAAAATGATTCTTTTTTATTTTGTGTCCGGAAACAATTTCCTAAGTATTTGAAGGCGTTTGGTAACTGTCCAAAATTTCTATTCTTAGAATAGAAAAAGAACATAAATGCGTTTGGTAACTACATAAAATTTCATTTTATTAATAATATTTTAAATTTTTTTATATTTTTATATTTTTTCTTTCTTTCTTTCCTTGGCCATGGCCGGTCGTTGGCGCCGGCAACTGGCCATAGGCCAGGGTCGGCGAGGGCGTCGCAGCCCTCGTTGCCGGCCTCGCCTTGGCTGGGCGAGGCCTCACCGTCGCAGCTGCGAGCCGCCCTAGCCGGCCACCGGTGAGGGCCGCGACGCCGTCGCCGGTCATCGGCGGCCGGCGGGTGGCGGGTGGCAGGCCAAAGAAAAATAACAAACCAAAAAAAAGAAGAAAACCAAGAAGAATCAGTTCTGGAAAAATTGTTCTAGAATCAAGAAACTACTTTTTTTTGCTTCTTGATTTTGTTCCAAAACTGATTCTGGAAATAATTTTTTGCAAAATTGTGCCTGGGCACAAAAAATTTAACAAACGGATTAATGTTCCCAAACTGATTCTGGGAACAAAACAACATAAATTTTTACTATTTGGCAAGTTGCCAAACGGACCCTTAGTAACTCAATCGAAAAGTTGGTAAGCAACTACCAACTTAAATGAGGGCGGTAATTTCAATAAGAGTTCGTAATTTGAAAATGTCAATCGGGTATGCAAACTTTTACAAAAGCTATTCATTTTAAAACGACAAGATTAATGTTGGTAAGTGATTCAATAAGAGCTAATAACCTAAAACTGTGGAGTAATTTAATCGGGAAAATATCGTTAGATAACTCAAATAAGGTTGGTAATTTGATATGAGAGTTGGTAGTGTAAATCATCAATAATCCACGAAAATCAAAGTTGATAAGTTCTCACAAAAATGGTGATGTTAAAATGACCAAATAAATATTATTAAATAACCCAATTAGAAGTTGATAAATTAGAATTAGTTTATTACTTTATGGGGAAATAGTCTGTAAGTAACTCAAATAAAGGTTAGTAATTTGATATATAAGGTCCTAACTTTAATCGGTTAGCTATGAAAAACAATCAAATAAATGAGTAGTTGTTTCTCGCTCTTTCTAGCTGAGATGGAAAATCTTGTAATTTACATTTGGTAATGAATTAAAATAAGAGTTGGTAACTTAAAATTAGTCGGTTACTTAATCGAGAAAAAGTCAACAAGTAACTAAAATAAGGTTGGTTTAGAAGTAAGAGTTGGTAACTTTAAAATAATTGGTAAGCTACGCAAATAAGAATCGGTAAGTCGTTATAAAAGCTGGAAGGTTCGAAACAGTCAAATGAACATTGGCCAATGACTCAAATAAGAATTTATGAGTTAAAGCTGGTTGGTAACTTAATTAAAAAAATTGATAACTTATTCAAATAAAATTCGATATAAATTGAAATATCATTAAATAGCGCCAATTGGTAAGTTACAAAAGTTTACAATCAGGGACAATGACGTGAATGGTCCTGGACTTTTTTTCAATTTTCAAGTTGATCCTTGAAATGTTTATTCAATTTAGTCCTTGAATTATAAAAAAACACACCAAATGTAGTATCATTCGATTGAAAATATTAACAACGTAAGCTAACCTTATTAAAATTATGTTGACTTGACGTTGCATGTGGCATACCGAGTCCACGTGGCCTACACGTAACTTCTATGTCATCTCTCTCTCACTGATTTTTGCCCAAAAGAGAGAAAGGGAACGAAGAAATATTTGTCAAGCTGGAAAGCAACGCTGCAGTCCACATCCTTATTTTGAACGAATAACCGCTGACGGGATAATTCACACCAGAAAAATACACTTCATGACGGGACTACAAAAGTCGACGGACCATATGGAGCCAAAAAAAAAAAATTCAGAAACTACATTAGACGTTAACCAAAGTTTAGGTACCAACAACTTCAATACCCTACTAATTGGTAACTTAGCTGAAATAAAGCGGTGTAGCCCAACGATAATTTGATATGAGAGTTGGTAACTTACAAGTTATCAGACAATACAACCTTTTTTTACGAAAAGTATAGGTTTTCGAAATTTACCAACAAGAAAAAAAAATAACTTCTTTTCTGCACCGAAACGCCATATTAGCATTGTATTTCTCTTGACATCATTTTAGCATTGTATAAACTCATAGCTTTGTTCTGAAATGCGATTATGCATCAAGGCGAGAGTAAGATTTGAATGGTCGCCTCTAAACACGACGAACATCTTGTGAACATTAACGATCTTTTGCCATGACGCATCCACCTTCTCTTGATCAATTTTGACAAAGAGAACAAGTGCAGCAATCTGGCCGGTTTTGCAACATGATATCATGAATCATTCGGAACTACTATGGATTAAACATAGTGCAATCTCCAAACATCTCACAAGATCAGTAATCTCTTTTGAATGCAAAAATAAAATCTTTACTCTACGAATTTCGCACGCCGATAAAAATCTAGAATCGTTGCGAATGATGCCAAACACGGGTTGGCGTCCATACAGGTCTCTAATCTCTTCTTCTTTTATTTTCAGTTACAAAAAATATATGAATAACCCTATTTCTGTCGGGCAGCACAACTTTATCCCTTCATTTACCAGATGACATTTCCTTTTCCTCCCTTTCTTTGGATTGAACTCTTATAATCTAGCTCATGATACGTTAGGAGAGAACAGCTATCTGACCAAAGTGGAATCAGATTTCACAGGTGGAAGCATCTAGCCAAAAGTTTAAAGAAGACGGAGCCGATGATCCGCCACAGTATAAAGCCAATAACCAACGAGCCAAAATTGGAGCCGCTGACCTTTAATGTCATGAAGATGCAGGTTATACTAATTACTTTTCGAGGCCAGAAGCAGAAAGAATTTTGCTTCAGTGGAGATGCATCACTCCTGTTAGCTTGATGTATGATTTTGGACCAGGAGATCATTTAGAAGTGGATCGTCCATATCTGCAGTCCCATTGACTCTTCTATCACGGCGTCGACCTCTGCAGAGACATCCAAAACAAAGCAATCGATTGTTAGGATAAACCCAGAATTTTCTGAGCTAGGAATATAGAGGGGAGATGAAGAAATTAACTTTTTGAAGCACTTGTAGCGAAGACACGCTTGACATGATGTACAACAATGGCAGTCCATTGCGCTAAGACTACTCGAAGACAATAACTGCTAAATAACCTCCAGCCTCCAGTATAACAAAACCCAAACCAAAAAGATACTTTTCTTACAACAGAAAATCAGAGTATTATGATGCAATTAATACAGAGACAATGAATAACATAATCCAAATCTTGAGGGGAGGCCCCATTTGCTTAGAACAAAACTGTTTAGCTCGAGGTTTTTCCAGGAATGATTTTGCTCTAACATGCAAGAAACTGTCAATAACATTTTTCCATCTGAAACAGATTTTCTCCAAAAATTTCCTAGTATGGAGCCATTATTAGTGTAGCTGGTCTCGCATTTGATCCAGCGCCCCACCTTTACAACGCAGGAGTACTGTTTAGTGAAAAATCTGGCACTTATTGCTGTACATAGTGATGATACATATGGATACTTTCTATGGGGGGAAAAAGTGAGTTTTGATCACCCAGTTGATCGATGCTACGGTCTTCTGATCATGACAGTACCATGGATCGTACAGTTGGGTCATCATAGCCTATGAAACTGTTAACTGATAGTATCACAGAGGTAAATAGGCAACAGTGGATCCAAGTACCTTCAGAAAAATGACATTCATTGAAAAAAATTGAATTTCCCATATTGACTTAAGAATGCAAGTAAGGCGACGCTTGAAAAAAGTATTGTTCTCAACTCATCTTTCCATAAACAAAGACAGACTGAAAAGCTTAAGAATCTTGAAAAAGTGTGAGTTATGTGGGTAACATAGTCTTGAGTATACATCTTTGTTCCCTGTGTCCTAATTGCAAGTGCCAATGTAATAGCATCAAGATCATATAGTTTTCAATAAAGTAAATTAACTTGCAGTTGTTTTCATAAAAGCCAAGCAGAAGAAGAAGTCCCAACAAAACCATTCATAAGAAAGTGAAGATGTCACAAGCCTCTATTGAGCGAAAAATCTCAAAAGAACTTGGTGTCCTTTTCTTGTCTCTCTCTATCCTTTTTCCTTTTCATGCGATTCTGGAGCTCATTCCAGCGCACAACTTAAGGAGACAACTGGCTAAAGCCGTAAAGCCTTATTTATCTTTCTCAGTTTAACACACAAATATACATACATCCATGTTAAATGAGTAAAGAAACATAGAGACCTTACACTGGTCGATTGAAGCTCCACCGTATCCAAATCCTCATTTTCCTGCAACACAAATACATGTTCATCTGTTGAGGTGCCAAGCAAAACTTGCCCACTTCAAACCATTTAGTGGCTATAAACTACATTACCTCTTCAATCAGCAAATCCTTTCTTGTAATCAGACCAATAACACGAGACGCACGAGGTACCACAAATAGATGTCTTAAACCCAGCTGGCGGAAAAGGTTGTAAACCTACAGTGTCAGCAAGAAGCAACATTTATCAACTCATAGGCCCAATACCTAAGGATCGTTATCTCCGAAATGGAATAGTAACTTCACCTTCGTCAGAGACATGTCTTCAGGTACCACGTAAGGAGAGGGATTCAAAAATGGTGCTAGATCTATATACATTTCCAAGTCATCAGAGCTTAAATGTATATCATCAATTGACAAACCTCTACTGGTAGCAGGTTTGACAAACTCATTGAAATTGTGCCTGAAATTCACAAATAAAAAAAAAGCGTCATTCAAAATTTTCATAAAACTGGAGCACTAAAGAGAAGAACATTCATCAGTTTTTGGCTTACCTAATAATCCCAGATCTCTCGCAGGGCAAAGGACTGTGCTGGAAATCTACTTTAGACCGCAGAAGCACCAATAAATGACTGTACCAAGAATTTTAATTCCGATTAACCAGCACTCTTCTTCTTATAAAGGAACAGAAGGTACAGACTCAATAGCACACTACCTGCGCAGCATTAACCCTATGACCAGTGTTTCTCCATTTCTTGTATGATCTATTACCTGAGATAAATTAAGTTAAAACATCAGGGAGAACTATCAAGAACTAAATGGAATGAAGCAGCATAAGCAAGGAAAAAGCACTTGCATACAGGAAAACCATTGTGTTTGTTGCTCCGCAAGATAGATGCTAGATCAGACACCTTGACAACACGTGGCAAGGAAATCACCTTCAGCGACAGGGAAAAAAAGGAAACGATGTTGAGTGTTGAAAAATAATAAAATATACAAATACAAAGCTAAGAATATTGCATGCACCATGTAGCTCAAGTTCTTGTTCTTAGAGCAATTTTGATAACTGAGCCATGATAATAACCACAAATCATTATCAAAGGCCAGAGGCAGTAAAACTAGTTTCTAATTCATGCTGATATATTGCTGACAAGAAAGGCAAAATCAACATCTGATAACCTCACACAAGCTTTAACAGTTGATGGAATGCCATAGTTTTCTTAAAACTTTTTTTTTTTTTTTTGATGACCCGGGGAACCCCCGCACGGCCGACAGCCGGGAGGTAAACCCTGGGGGCGACACGTGCTAGCCACCACACACGTGCACCGGTTAAGTCACCCTACGGCACCCGGGATTTGAACACTCAACCTTTTGCAAGAGGAAGAGTGCGCGCTCCAGCAGCGCCACCCAGGCGGGTGGTGTTTTCTTAAAACTTTTGTTGCTTACAAGATATAAGAATCAAAATAAAACTTCCATATCATAAGATTCCTTCTTTTCATTTACTTGCAAAAACAATACAAAGCAATGAGACATTAATTTAAGTTGGAAAATACTACAAAACCTATTGTACAGTACAACGAATGACAGTATTATCTCATATCAACAACAACCAAAATGCCAGTTTAAGATAGAATTCTTCCTTAGGAAAATTGGAGGGGAAGCCAGCTAGGGAATGGGCAGTTGATGGTAGGTATGATAATTTTCAATTTCTTGAACCAAACAGCAATGACAAAGATTTACACTCTTGAGAATATAAACCAGAATGAAAAGCTCAAGTGGGCCAGTAACAAATTTCAAATACGAGCAGGGTGCACGTGTGCACATTCCTGACATTAGAGTAATTATGAATTAGACTTTTTCTAATATCCTATTGGAACTACAATTGTGTGCCCATATGTGTTGGAACCAGATGCCCATGATCACAGTAAGGATGTTTACCTTTCGAGTTCCACAAACCTCTTTTGCTGTCATTTTGCGCATCTGGTATTTAGGTCTTGATTCTAGCAATGGAATGCCCCTCAACCGAGCCTGTTCTTCATAGAGACCTTCATTAAAAGCATCACCAACAGCCTGCAGCAGAACGGACTTTAGTACCCTTGCAAAGACGCAAACGCAAGCCTTTACAGTATGACGTTGATGAAAGCATACCTTTGATATAAGAAGAACAAGCATGATAAGGGGCAAAAGTTTCAAATTGTTTGTTATTTCAACCATAATTACACAAAGCGACACAGTCATCCTCATTGAACCTCCAAGGAAGGAAGCAGCACCCAATAATGCATACCTACAGAAACAAAGAGTAATTACATTACAATCAATGAAAACAACAATCTACCAATTTGATCTATGTATAAGGACAGCAAATGGCTTTCTAATAATAAAACAAGATAAGGTATGATTAGAAAGACATGAGGAAATGAAAGTCAAATTAAAAATGGAGGGAGTCCAGCGGATTGTGCCTTTTATGGCATGTGCACTCAATCAGAAGGGAAAGGTTGAGGTTGGGCCCCTCATTTGGAGGCTTGTGCATCCTATCCCCGCACTTGGTAGTGGACGGACGTAAAATAGCCTAAAGGAAGGGGAAAGGGAGGAGTGGTCTGAGAGCACATCTTTGCAGAGAAGTCCACAAGCAGCCAACAGATACCGAAAAGATAGAAGAGGGCCCCCCATTTTAATGGAATAAAAACACAGCAAGTTGGAATAAGATGGTGTCTCTCCAAAGTAGGGGTGCATCTTCAAAAATTGTCACTTCTTTAACCATTAATGGCATTCAACTTGAATCACATGAAATATTGTGGGCAGCATCATACTAGATTGAATCCTGACACATATTTCACTGCTAAAGGAGGAGCAAACTGAAAGATCAGTTGTAAGATGGATAGCCTATATGAAAATGCAAACTCTATTTCCCAGCATCATCTCACAAATTTCCTATATCTGTGAAGTCAAACCATTGCTTTCATTCAGCAAATATGTCACTAAAGTACATTCCTCAAACAGGATAATTCCCTGAACTGTTGCTCTAATATCAAATTCACTCGAAGGTGTAGCAAATAAATGCATATCAGGGTCTGGGTCGGTATGTTATCTCTCGAGTTTGGCAAGAAGTGGAATGTAATTGAACCAAGTGATGAATGATTGAGCAAGAACGAGATGAATGACATGTAAAACAAACAAGATGTTCAACAAATCTGTGTGTCATTTAGATGTGTTTGGCCCAGATGTAAAGGGGGTGCTGCTGCTTTTCAAAACCGAAAACTCCCCCAGTGAGCATTTTGTAAATCTAGCAGCAGCTTTGGCCTTTTTTTGGGTTCAAAAATCTACAGCAGCTGTGGCTATTTTGCTAGATCTTTTGAAAAGCAAGGGAAGGTGCTTTTGGAGCTGCAGTTGTGTGCTTTTACAAGGTTAAAAAGTAGATGAAAACATAACTTACCACTTATTAACTTATTTTATATAAGTGTGATGCAAAACATGTTGCCAAACGCCCTTAACAGTTCAGCCACAGCACAAGCCAGCACCACCACAACATAAAAAGCTACAACAATATCAAACAGGCTCTTAAACAGTTTTTGAAAACCATATGGGTGAGTGAACCAGTCGAGTCACCAGATCATTGTGTAACCAATTTGACCGCTTCGTTATTTTATTGGTGTAAAATATGTGTAAGCTGATAAAACAGTATTCGGATGCAGCTTAGTGGTCTATTGTGTGCATATTTTTCACTGAAAGCATGCTCCATCCAAGGTTCAAGTGTTCTCAAAGCTTTTTCTTTGCACTGGTTCCATCTTTAATTATAGGGAAAATGACACAAATGGTACATGGACTTCGGCCCAATATGTAATGTGGTCCCTGAACTTTTAATTTGTTCAATATGGTCCCTCAACTTTGGCCGGACTAAGTTAAACATGTACCAAAAGTTCAGAGACCACATTGACCAAATTGAAAGTTTTGGGATCACATTGCCCATTGGGCCAAAATTCATGGATCACATTGAACAAATTAAAAGTTTAGGGACCATATTGCATATTGGGCCAAAGTACATTGACCATTTCTGTCATTTTTGCGTATTTATACTGTCGATTGATTGCAATGTGCACAAGATTAGAAGGTGAACATGACTGGATGAGTGATTCTCACATGGTTTTTTCACATAGGAGACAAAGAAATGCATGCTTTTCTAGGCAGAGCCAGTTCAACCCAGTTCTTAATACGGTTCAACTGCCCGGTGGTTTTTTCAGTTTAACCGGGTCAAGCGGGTTTCACTCCGGTTTTGGACACAGATGGTTTAAGGCTCATACCCCTTCCACAACTTAAGCTGGTAGCCAGTGCAACCGGTTGAACCAGCCCGGCCATTCCGCTCCGATTTACAAAACATTGATTAAACAACAGAAGTGACACTTGTAATTTGAAGAAAACAGCAGTCACCACTAGCATTAAATCCATTAGTATGCAGGCTTGGTCTAAACACGCCTCAGAGATCATTAATTACTTCGAGCTCAAAGTTTCATTCAACAATGGCTGCGGTAAATTTGTTCATTGACGGCACCCCCGAAACAATGATGGCATTATGCATGTGGAACTGATAGTCCTCAAATGAAATGAGAAGTACAACTATACAAGTGAAGAGGCTTACGTTCCCTCCTCAATGTTAAGCTTCTGGTAAAAGTTGACAACAAACATGCCAACCAGGCGTCCGTATGTCGATCCTATCATTATTCCAGGAACAAACTGACCAGCAGGAACAGCAGAACCAAATGTGATCACTGCTAAAGCATAAAACATAACCTGAAGGTGGTAGGATGTGAGAGACACGAGTTACTTTTCAAGTATTATACCAAAATATGCACAAAACAGAAACAAAGACATGGATTTAGCAGTGCGTTAGTTATGACAGCATGTTTATTTCCAAATTCTATCAAAAAAGCAGCTTCAAAATATTCCATCCAAAGGTTTAGCACCTTCTTGGAGTTGGAAGAGAGATATTGATAGATGTGAAGCAAAATGCTTTACCAGAAAGGTCAACAAACTTTGAGCACTGTACTCATGAATTGTCTTTGCACTAAACAAGTTCCTGATGGCATCATCCTGTAACAATAAAGTCGATTTTGTTGATTGGAATCAGTTAAAACAAGAGCTTCCATCAGCAGCATATCTATTCACAGGTATCTATTACTTTGCCAACAAAGATAATTTTACCAAATGTGCAAAAAATAATGGCTGGAGGATACATAATTCTGCAAAAGAACATACAGGCATCAATTAATTTAGATTACCTGAGTATTAAAGAAAATAGTAGCAAGATCATTGTACTCATTGTCTCTTCCACAGTAAAACTGCAAATCAAATCAGATAACCTCAAGATTTAGCAAAACCAAAACTAGAAGTATACAGAGAGTATATTCCATGCAAGGGTAGAAACACCATCTATGAGAAGAAGTGTTATCACATTCAGTAAATAGTTCATTAAAGGTGAAATCAGGCAAGCTTTCCTACTTGATTAAGGCAGGATAGCTTAGGCTACAGATCTCAAAAATATGATTTAATAATAAATCTCGCCCAATAACTGAGACGTAATTGAACACGCTGTAACACAGATGAATCTACCTTCAACATATTTTATGTTGTGTTTTACTAAGTTAAAAAGTTCAGCATCATAACTTATATTGAAAGGAAGTTATTTACATGCATAGTGATTTGACGAAGCTACAGTACAGATAGTAACTCGTTATAAGAGGAAATCACCCTGTCTGGGGATAGAGATAGATGAAAATAGTGGAGAGTGAGGCCAGTAGGGAACAGTTGACAGGAGGAGGGGACCCTGGAAACTCATGCTGAGACTGAATGGAACCTTACCAAATGTCTTTCCTCATGCAAATCATCGATTTAATCAAACAGGTCAAAAAAACTGTCTAGATATAAACAATTAACTAATGAACAGACGAATTATCACAAAGACAACCACCACAGTGCTCAAAGAGTTCCTGACCTTACATCTGTGAATTAACTACTTAAAGCTAACTCGTAGCGGCGAAAGAGAGTACACCCCATTAACTGCCACATTATGGTTAAGTACTATTGTAAAATTTACTGGCTCAATACGAGAATCTAGATATAGAAAATATTATAATTCAATAGATTGGCTTTCACATTTTTCCAGAAAATGGGGCCAAAAAGATAACTAGTGAATCGAATTTGTCATCTGACCAAAAAAAAAGAAAATCAAATTTGTCCCAAATACTAACAATGAAAATGAACTACAACAATGAAACCTTTATATCCATAGTAGTAGTAATGATTTTAGTGATTCACTCCCCTTCCACTAATGTATCCCATATAATGGTAGTGATAGCAAAAACAATTGTACCTTCACATAATTTCCATACATTCCTGGAGAATGTGGACATTCTATTCCAGAAGTGGGATCTGTTTCAGGACATGGAGTGCATTTTCGCAGTAATGGTAGACCGAAGGATATCACTGATGTTAGCAGAGATATGAGGCATGCTTCAATTATCTGTTCCAAAAATTTTTATGAGATGCCGTAAAATGAATATAAGAGGAAAAAGGTCCTGGGCAAGTAAACACATGCACATCGTCTCACATTGAATGTTTACCTTGACACGATTTCCTTTCTTGTGCAGATAATTTCGACGCCAGTGAGTTATATATAGAGTAAGCTGGTTAAATAACGCCCCTAAAGAAAATATACAGCCAGATCAGAGGGTGAAAAGAAAGCAGTAACATGAGATCCAACTAAAAAAACACCAACCAAGGAGACCCCCAATAACTCCGATGACAGCCATTGGCAGTAACTCCTGAAATGAGTAATCCTCTTGACCACTGCAATGAAACATCATCAAAAGTCCATTAGCTAGAAAACCCGAAAACAATTCTTAAACTTCACCAGATTAACCAACAAGAACCGACTCTGATATGTCCCATATTATGAATCCACCCGCGCCAAAATGTCCACACTTTCCGCTTTTACACCAACCCATTGCAGTTCGTACAACGACGGCAACAATTGCGGAAGTGAAGAAAACACGCCACATGAGTTGACTCCTCCACCTTAGCAAACATAAAGAGGATAACTCTCAAATGATATTTTGTCCTTGATAGGTCAACAAATCCATGCATGTAATCCTATCGAGGAAATACAGCTTAACCAAGTAAAAGCAGGCGGGTCATATACCACGACGTAACTTCTTCCAACGCAAATAGAACACCACCAACTGGAGCTCTGAAGGCAGCAGCAACTCCAGCAGCACATCCACAGGTTACCTTGACAAAGTATTGAAAAATTTGACAATAAGACATAGTATTTCAATGGCATAGCATTGCTACTAGAACAGCTTGAACATTTGAGCATTGACATGCTCTTTTGTATTTTGATAAGCAAAGGAAAGTATTAACACAAGAAAAAGGAAAGTTTTGGTCTGCATATAGACGGTAGTAAGTGGTGGATGCCAACACTCCCAATCAGACCAGGCATTCACCATGATTAAACTGATAAAAGAAGGCCCTCATCTTTAGTATGGACTATGCGGTACAAACATCCAAACTAAACCAGAAAAAGGAATAGGGGATGGAGCAGTCAAAAGTTTCAAAATAGTGTTTGGGGCATCATTTAATGTGTTTCTGGTATAAAATAGTGTTTGGGGCAACTGAACTTCTTGTGAGTGTATGTAGCTTCCCTTCAAAATTTAATTTTTATAAATCATGAAAAAGCTCCACAAGCCATGGGTGAGATGAATAAATGAGTCCACGTGCCAATAGAAGGAAGGGAAAAAACTAAATGCCGCCGAAGAGGTGCCTCATTCATCAATCTAAGAGGCTTTAGTAACTTACAAGATCACGGCGATCCCGATCACTCTTGAAAACTTGAAGCCATCTCGAACTCACATGATATTTTGTGGATCCCCCCTGAACTCGGAATCACATCAAAGAAAACAACCGTGTTCATGACTTTCGGCAAAGACACAACCATGCTTGATCACTTGATCCTTTGTGATTACTGGATGAAATGTAAGGTTGCAAATAAAGGAGCATCATGGTAAACAGAAAGGACGATATGAAAAATATATGAGAAACACCATCCAACAGATCAGCCTCTGCTTCGGATGATTAACACGGTTTGCACAAGAACCACCTCTTTAGCGAAACACCAGCCGAGGTTTATTTGGAGCACAAGACAAAAAACAACTAGTAATCACTCACAGATTCCAGGCCACCAATTCTATTCTTATTTGTACAAAACAAGACAACCATATCACTACATTAACAGAACAGCTAGTTCCTCCAACTACTTTCAGGAAACGATCAGTTATCTACCACGTGGTTCATGCAGGTGCGGATGCATAAAGCAGCACAACGTGTATTAGTAGACCAGCAGCCATAAAATAATTATCTCTCTCTCTCTCTCTCTCTCTCTCTCTCTCTCTCTCTATCAACTTCTTCGATTTTCTCGCTTACAGCCTAGTACATAAACACTGTTTTTTTTTTGGGGGGGGATCTCACATATAAACTCTGGTTTAATTAATGTCAAAAGTAGAAATATGTACAACTACACGAGACCAAAATAGGAGGTACATAAATTGGTCAGACACTGATACAGAATTTGGCTAATTCAAGCTCTTTAAATTGCTAAACATGCTCATTGAAGAACAAAGCATCTAAAGAAGCTGTCAATGAAACATGCAGTCAAGGACCATAGCCTTTAATCATATGAAGATACAAAAACTATTCCCAATACAAGTATATGAAAGCATAAAGTGACGATCTGGCCCAACCCTCAGATCGTAAAAGATCACAAAATGAAGGAAAAAGTAAAAATTAAGCAGCACCCTTTGAACAAACAATAAGGTGCATATTAAGAAAGTATTGGATGTGGTATGTGCACTAACTTGTCCGAGCAATGAAGCAATACAAGCACCCGTATGAACAAGAGGACCCTCCTTTCCAAGAGCCAGCCCACCCCCAACAGAGCCAATGCTCCCGAATATCTGTGGAAATTAGAGATTAAGTAACCATCGCAATCCATTAGAGAAAGTTATTAACATAATTAAACAGCAAACAATTGACAGGTGATTTACCTTTCCAATCAAAGTTCTGAAGAAAAGAATGCCATGAATATCAACTCCTGAATATTTGAGTTCAAAACGATGAGTATTCTTGGACAAATGATGCCAAAACATTGTGGAACAACAAAGATACAGAATGCCACTCAAGCGTACCATTTAGATAACCCTTAATTTCAGGAATGCCAGAACCAGCAGCTGCTGGTGCAAAATGTGTAACTATATATACAGAAGACAGCACTAGAGCCAAGTTGAATAATACATATATTACAAAACCAGCAAAATAAGATTTCTGAATTATTTGAAATGTCAAATGGAACTTCCATCCAGCAAAGTTCTCGACGGATATATTGATGAAAACAGCAGCTAATCCAGTACCTGAAAGCAAACAATCAAATAAGGAACCAAAATATTTTCACAAAATATACATCCAAAAAATACAGAACGCCACATAGAGCATACCCATAAAAACTCAGAAGCTTTCAGATAGGACAACATCAACTACATGTACACAGTAACTATAAAACAGAAATTGCTGGTAGTTTCTGTTCAAACCAATGAAACAACAGCTACAACTATCCGTTGCGGAGGCACCCAAAAAACTTCTACAAGTAGTTCATTTTCTTCTACTCATTGGCAAATTGAAAATGCAACAATAAACAGCAAGGAGTTTCATTCAAATTCCATCTGCCCCTTCATTCCGAAAAGGAAAAGGAAAGAGTTATGATGGTCTGATTGAGCACTTTCTAAAAATTTTCTCTGGAGAGAAACTTAACTCTGCAATTAATCCGGTCGCCCACATCATCGGTCTAATTTACACACACGAGCGATTCAAGAGGCACTAAACCTACCACCGAAGAGCATAGTGCACAGACGTTTTTTCCAGTTGGCCTACGAATTAGGTCCAGTTCAAACACAAATTAAATGGAAAAAGCAGCCCTAATCTCCGGCCTACCAACAAGAGTCGCAAAGTGCACAGATCATAGCTTACCAATTCCAATGAGCAAAGCAAAGAACCACTTCACCGCCACTTGGTACACAAAATACACCTTCCCTCTCTGCGCCTGCCATCAACCCGCAAAAACCCAAAGCTCAGACTCGCATCGCCGATCCACAACACCGCAATCCGCCTCGACCAGAAAGATCCTTCCCGAAACACGACGAACGAGAAAAATATTAAAAAAATAAAAAGAAAAACTCACCTGCTCTTCTCGGTAGGCATCATTCTCGATGACTTCGTAGTCCAGACTCTCGACGCTGCCCCCGTCGCTCTTCTTCGAGATGCCGACCGCGTCGAACTCGCCCTCCTCCGCGTTCGGGAGCCGGGACCAGACCAGCCTGGCCGTCTCCATGCCGTTCTGCAGGTGGTTCGACAGCATGATCGGCGGCCGGACCCAGAGCCCTTCCAAATCCCCGACCCCGAACCCTACAGAATCCCCCCCCCCCCCCCCACGAAGGCACCGACCCCCGGCACGGATCACGAGCGCGAGGCGGCGGCGGGGGAGCAGGATCGTGCCAGGCACGGCGGCGGCGGCCCCGGGATCGGACGACGGAGCTCGACCGAACCACAGCGCGAAAGCACGGCGAAGACTCGCGGGGCGACCCTTCCCTTCTTCTCTCTCGCTCGCGTGAGAGCGTCTGAGGTTTTTGTCTTTTGACCCGGAGCTGTAGGCTACGGCCACTAGTAGTAGTTGACTGCGAATCGGAATTCCATTACAGCTGCTTTTGGCGACGACCAAGGTGGGACGCGCACCCGAACTTCTTCTTCAACTTTCATTCCCCAATGACGCCATGCTCCTCCACCAAAGAATATGAAAGCTTTGACATTTCTTTTTCTTTATTTGTCTTGAAAATATTAATTTTATTTTTGGAAAATATTCCAACACACACATATATATATATATATATAGGATCGCGCGAAATTTTGATGTAAAGAGAGATAAAATATCTTCGCGCGGGATACAATTTACCCTAAACCCGGAAATAAGCACTAATTCTGGTACAGCTCGGCCATACATTGTACACATAAACCGATCGCTCTATTTCAATTTAGGCGCGTTGAGTCTATTGCACCAAACTCGTGTATTATCTCGTTGGTGTTATGCCGACAATAGCTTTATAGGAGTAAATTTAGATTGTGAGTTAGTTCGTATCTAAATTATGAGATTAATTTAGAAGGAAAAGTTCATATGGCTTTACTTAATCTCGATTCTCGCTTCCTGCTTTGTGCGTGTTAGTGCCGACACAAGATTCGAATCGTTACCCTCTATTAGCTGTGATCCATTGCATGCTATAGACAATCCTCGTAGCTCATTTTTCTTATTCGTTACTAATCATAAAAGTTAATTAGCAGTCATTTTCGTAGGATCATGATTTTAAACAGGGAAAAAGTCACATAAAATCTCAAACTATACTTATTGTAGCACGTTTACACTGAACTTTCTTTGTGACATCAAGAATCCCAAATTATGACCACTATGATATATTTACCCTAAACTTTTTCTTGAGACACAAATAACCTCAAACTTGTATCTATCTAGATGACATATTTACCCTATTTTTCAGCCAAAACAACGTCGTTTAAGTCACGTGAGCACCATGTTAACATTGTTTACTTTCTCGCGTCCATGTAAGTAGATTTTTAACGGTTCTCATTGACAATATTACAAGTACAAGGTTTGGATTTTTTGTGTCACGGAAAAAAAGTTTATGGTAAATGTATCTTAATTGACATAATTTAGGATTTTTTTTATAGCTTTGCTCTTTAAAAAATTACAAAATTGTTGGAAAAGGAAACTCTCCTCATGTTTGAATGGCACGGCCATTCGGGGGGGCCCAAAATTCTTCGACAGTAGGCCTGGTGACTTATTTAGTGTTTAAAAAAGAGAGAATTATTTAGCATTTTTTTATTTATTTATCTAGGCACATGCGAAAAACTGCAATTAAATAATTACATTCGATCTTTTTCTGTAACGACAAATGCGACACGATGCAATCAATAAGGGCAAAACCCCCTCGCGTCATGGGATGTCCATTCTTTTTTGAAAGCTAAACATTCGTCGCGAGTTGTTTGCTTTGTTTGTCTTGGTATGATCCAACCCGGCATTCCTCATGCTTACGATATCTGCAATGGCGCTAAATTCAGCCGCGCGATACCGGCGATGGCGACGGCGACAATCATTAATCGCGGAAAGGCTAAGGACGACGAAGGTTCCAGTTGCGAGACGTGCTTACTTGCCCATGTCGTTGTCGTGGCCCGAGTGCGACTCGAGGATTGCGGGATTTGGTATGAGGATCGCTTGAACTACTAAGTACTTGGTGCATGGGCTAGTGATTCCGAAATTGGAGATTTGAGGGGTTAAGTGTATGAATCGGTGTATGGAGTGACAATGGGATGATGGGTAAAGGGTAAAGGATGAAGGATATGGAAAGTTCATCACCGATGCTTAAAGGCACGGGCCACCAGCAAAGGATAAAGAGCCGAGATAGATGGCAGCTTACCATCAAGGCATAAAGAATTTCTCTACCGGCGAAGGATAAAGAATTGTCCGGTTCACCATCAACGACGTTGGGTAAAGAATCGGATAGATAGTTCAACTCACGTAGAAGAATTCTCGTATATACATCAAAATCTGCATTACAATGGAGAGTTCTCTTCTGTTAGGAAATGGACACGCTTTAAAGAGACATGGGGATTCCTCAAATATTAAAGACATAGGAACTAGAACGTAAATAAAGTCCCAGGAACTCAGATTTTTGACTCTTGGAAAACCCAACTCATAAAAACCTAAGAACTAAGAAATGTAAATAATGACACGGAGACTTGAAATCTTGACTCTTCAGCTTTCATGGTTCATCTTTCAAAATTCGTCAACCAGCCTTGGCCAGAAAATAACTATCTTAGAATTTCAACAAATAACCAAGGAAATCGCTTTAGAACAGCCTCCCATCTATATGTTATTGATTGGTGTTGAAATTGGCAAAATATTATAGTGAACCGGTAACTCGATACTTGATCATCAAGGATTAATCGACAACTCCTCAATCGATAACTTGGTTGATAGTCTTCTCATCGACAACTTCATTTTCGACCAATCGAATTAAGTTATGACCCAATTCTACCTTGGCTTGAATGAATATTGACTGTGTTGGATTTGTCGATGGAATTAAGTCGGATGCTCCCGCAGCGGCGCTTGAATGCAAAAATGGAAAAGCTTATGCATATTTTTGTTGGGAAAATTGTTAAAAAAAGTCATAAACTTATTGCACTTTTGCCGATTCAGTCCTAAACATTTTAAGTTTGCCAATTCAGTCCTAAACATTTTCACTTCTTACCAATTTAGTCCATTTGGCTGGTCGGCGCTGACGTGGCCGCTGGCCGTCCGGCCAACACTGATGTAGCAATTTTAAAATATTTTTTCGAATAGTTTAATATTGTTTTCTTTTTTTTCTACCTTTTCCCTCTAGCCGGTCCAACGACCGACGAGTTTGCCCTTGATGGCCTCTGGCGAAGCTCACCCCCGTCAGCCACTGGCGAGGGTGAGCCTCGCCTACCACTGCGAGGTCGAGCCTCGCCATGGCTGGGCGAGACTCGACCTCACCGAATCTAGGCGAGGTCGAGCCTCAACCAGCCATGGCGAGTGAAACCCAGTGACGGGGAGGCCGGCCTTGCCTTCACGAAACCCAGCGACGGCGAAGCCCACCTCACCTTGGTTGGGCGAGGCCAGCCCTCGCTGGATCTGGTCGTGGTCGAGCCTCACCCAGTAGCGGGCGAGGCTTGCCCTCGCCAGTGGCTGGCGGGGGCGAGCTTTGCCCGAGGCCGGCGAGGTCGATCGCCGGACCAGCCAGAGGGAAAAGGTAGAAAAAAATATTTAAAAATTGCCACATCAGCGTTGGCCGGACGGCCTGCGGCCACGTCAGCACCGGCCGACCAAATGGACTCAATTGGCAAGAAGTGAAAAGGTTTATGACCGAATTGACAAAAAGTAAAAAGGTTTAGAACTGAATTGGCAAAAATGCAATAGGTTTAGGACTTTTTTGACAATTTTTCCTATTTTTGCTTGGATGCTGGTGATTTTTGCAATTTCCAGAGAGCACACTATCAGCAGTAATGCCAGAACTTTCGAGATAGGTACAAAACTTTGTTACTGTTATCAGATGATCGGACAAGAAGTTTGATTTAGCGTTCAAATTACTGGCGATAATGTCGGAATTCCTATCAAGAAGTGTCGGAACATGTGGATTGTGGAGTATGCTTTCCGTGTGCGTACATCTATTTATCTCTACATGAAGTAATCAGTATTGTCCTATGAAGCCAAGTGGATTTCTTATTTTTAATGGATCTCGATCATTTTTCTCTCAGTCTCACGTATTTTGATATTAATGTTTGAATCTTTTTTTTTATCCAAAATAAACTTCTTTAAAAGATTTAAATATTTTTCGTTTATATTTCTTTGGTCCATCATGTGTCGTTATTGATATTTTTTCCATAATTTAATCATTACAACATTGGTTTATTTTATCTCTTAATACGCCTTTCGCGGAAAATGAATGATTTTGAAAACTTCTTCCAAAAAACGATTGTTTATATTACAATAATGTCCAAACGAAAAACTTTTCATCGTTCACAAAAATGTTTAGACATAAATTTTTATCGATAATTAATATTTTTATTGACTAATTATTTCAAGTGATGTGAGCAATCATTTTTAGAAAAATATTTTATAAATCATTCTTTTTCGTGAAACAAAGTGCGCCTCAAAGTCAAATGTTTTATTACTAATTGTTGGTGATGGTGGACTGGTGGAAGAGTTGGCCCTATTGCGGTGGTAGTGGATAGGGGTGAGCAGTTCTAGGTTCTTTACATATTCTACCTGGATATTGGAACCTACCTCGGATACAGGTTCCTCATTTTTTTGAACCCGAAACCTACCCGTCGGAACCCAGAACATGAACCTAGAACCTACCCTGTCACAGGTTCCAAGATAGGTTATACGGTCTAACAGGTTCTTTTTTTTTAATTTCATTTTTTGTTAAACAAAACGAAAATAAACGCAAAAATACTAAATAAGCTTGTCATTCACCAAAGAAAATACAAAATACTAGTTTTCCTGGTATTACGGTTCAAATAAATACAATTGAAATGAGAAATCATTACGTGAATCGATACTAGGGGTGAGCGATTCCATGTTCCGTATAGATTCTACTTGGAACTTACCCATGAGAATAGGTTCCTCATTTTTTGGAACTTGGAACCTACCCTATTACAGATTTTAGGGTCGGTTCCAAGATCTACCCAGGTTTCACCTATATTATTAATTGAACAATTGCAGTAAATCATTATATTTAATGACCATCACTTACTATTATGATTCACTGACCACAACTTATATTTAGACATACGAAGAATATGAAACATTAACAAGACATAAAATGAAAGCTCAGACTAGTGGTTCCAGATTATATACTAATTCTCTAATGCCATGAAATACCGTAGGATCATACGAAGACATAGACCGAGAAAAAACACAAAAAACTTATTTAGATTTTAGGTTCCAGGTTCTACTTACCTAAAACTTAGAATCTACTCGTCGAAACAGGTTTCTCAATTTTTGGAACCTGAAGCCTACCCCACATACCTTGGAACCACATATCTTGAAATCTGGAACTTACAGGTCCTACCTGTCAAATTTTCAGGTTCCAGGTTCTATTCTAGAACCATGCTCATCGCTAGTAGTGGAGCTCATGATAATGC